TCGGCCTGGCAAGCCATTCAAGCCCTCACCACATCAACCCGAGCCCTTTTTTTTCTTTCTATTGAAAACACACCTTCTTGTTGACTGAGAAAGCTTTTCTTTGGAGCCGAGGCATGTGAAAGTCTCTCAGAAAAGAAGTGGTTGCCTGTGTAGAGCGTTCCTTGCTATCAATGAACCGTGGAGACAAAGCTCTTGATATCTTCCCAAGTTTCCTTCAAACTGCTCTAGATGCTGCATGAGCGAGTAGACAGTTGCCTGAAGTGTTACCTTTACTAATGCTTACTAATGTCTGAATAGGCGGCATGGTAAGAAAATCCAAATACTCAGGAGGATGCACTCTGAAAAGTTAAAAAAGTTCCTATTTGAGAAAAAATCTCATCCCCCTGAGCATCAACGTAACAGAAACGAGTAACCAGCAACCTCAGAGTGTATTCTGTTGGATTTGGCAAACACTGTCAGCTCGTCTGTTCTACATTTTGACTGGATGCATGAAAAAACAACACAAATCTTTAGCATGTAAAGAGCAGCTGTAATGGAAAACAATGGTTTGTGCAGAAAGTGAAGGCCAGATTTATATGCAGCACCAGCTCTGAATAGCAAATTTTTCAGCAGACTGCTAATTGCTTGATGGATAGTGCCGAGCCATTTGCATTTATATTGTACCACAAATGCCTCCCGCCTATTTAGATTTCATATTTAACGCCTGACACTGAGGCAGTGGTCACAACTGTGGTGCAAAAAGTTATTCAGAGTGTTTGAACTGCCGCTGAAGTCTCAGCTTTCGAAGTCTCAACGTGTTAATGTTTTCCATCGTTCCCATCCACTGCTGCTTAAGCTCAGAACGACTGGTTCGTTCACTTTAGTAGAAAGTTGGGACAGACTGTACCTCAAAAAGGACCTTTAGCAGATTTTTTTGCGTGTTGATGAGTGGAAATGGTGTCCATTTTTTCTTGAGGTGATAACTATGCTGTTTCTCAGGTGCAGGGATGGCTGTTCATTAGGCTCAAACATGTCAGGAAGTGATATTTTCTGCAGACTGTCAATTGGCAACATGCGTTCAGCATAAAAATATGCTTCTCGTTGTCACCTTTCACAGGTTTGTCTTGATGAAGCCCTGTGAGAAACTCAAGGAAAGGTGACCAATGCTTGATTTGAATGCTTATTGGCATATTAAAACCATTAATGTGGTCTTGTGTCTAAATGCTACATTTATGAATACTCATTTGAGCTACTTCATGTTGTTACTGACTTATTTGTATCCTTTTGAGGCAGACGGCACTTTGCTGTTTTATCAGCTTATAACCTTATAACCACAACATAAAACTGAAAACAGTCATTGGCAGATAGGTTATGTATCTACACAACTTAAGATTTTCCATCTGTTGTGACTTAAGTTTTCCTTTCTCCATCTAATATACTTTCACTGTCTTTTTTCACGTATCACTTAAATCTATTGATTTGAAATGGTCTTTCTTCCACTTTTTTCTGACCTATTCACAACGTTGATAAGCTGATTTTGATCTCGGGTTCATTGTTGGGAAGCAGAGGCTGTAGGAAAGGTAAGAAGGTCTGGGCATGCCTCAGGTGACCCGTTATCCTCCACGTTTGAGTGTGCAGCCACTTCCTCCACACGTGCATTTCATCAGTGATTTTTATGCCCCGCTGTATCTGATGACTTCCATTGTTAAACACTCCCTGCAACACTTTCTTTGTGGAGGAACATTACGGCGGAGCTCACAGCTGCTTTACATTTGCTTTACACCCACAGACGAACCTGACTCTCCCCCGATGTAGATAATGAAATTTAAAAAAAGGTGGATTGTGCAGTTGCTTTAAAGAGGTAAAATAGGCCATCCATCATTTCTTTCATCTATCCAAAGAGACTTCGATTGATTTCGGATCGTTTCGACGATAAGCAGCTCGTTTCCTTTTTGGCCCTGCTGAAGCTCCGCAGATCCGGCTTTGTTGGAGCGTTGTCTTTGAAATAACGGCACAAATCTTATCTTTGCTTCATAGATTTCAATTCATGGAAGTTATTTTCCACTGGTCTTTGTAAATAACTTTTCTAACAGAGTCGATTCTCGCAGCCTGCATCCTCTTATCTGGGGCGGATAACAATTGGAAAATTGCCCTTTTTTTTTCGGCAGGAGCTCTTATTTCTTAGTAAACGGTCTCAGCATCTTTTCCACCTAGTACATTAGAATATTACTATTTTAGATCAGACTTTTATAGCACACAAGATGCTACTCAGGTGATCCTGAACACCTGAGCTCCCTGTCATTCTCTGCCGCCTCTCTGAAAAGCTTTACTCGCTTTCCCATGGTCTCAAAAGTACACTTCTTGCCTACAAGCTGATTAATAATGAGAGGAAACGTTTGTGCGCGAAGAGCGATGGCCGGAGCACCGAGCCCGGCTCTATAGAAACAAAAACAATACACTTTACAGAACGTTCTTGAAACTTTACAAAGCCGCCTGTTGTCTGCGCTCTCACATTTGCATACTATCATGGACTTTGAATTAAAGGTAAAAATTAGCAACTCATACAAGCTGCATTTGAAATCTTGGGAGCAGCTGAAGGGCTCTTGTGGCTGCAGAGAGGGAGAATATCCCCCCCCCCCCCCCCACCCTCCACCCCATGTGGCCTCAAGTCATTAATCACCAGGATCTTTTCAGCTGTCAATACATACAAAGAGACCCCCATACCCAACAATAACGTCCCAAAGAAAGCATTTTCCTTTTTCTTTTTCCAGGCGGGAGCAAATATAGTTCACGAAAGATTATGTTTACTGTTCTGTCCGCCACACAAATCTCATACAGTATTCATAAAGAGCTTATCTCGTGAAAAAATCCTTGTCTGAACAACACAGCATATTGCCGGTAAAAACTCTCAGATTTGTCTGGATTAGGTTTTATCTCTTTTTCAAAGAGCCGTGTTCTTTTATCCAGTGAATTACTTCCCATCTTTGCTCGTGGGGGCAAAGTAGTTTCAGAAGCAGAGACCTGTGGCACGCACGGGGAGATTTTAAGCTCACGTTGCGAAATTATAGATGTTTTAAAGCGCAGGATTGCTTTGATTGCGTTTGATATTGAGCAGTTGAGCTTCAAAGTAAACAATGAGCAGATTTTTAATGCGGTTTACGTGCACGTTGACATTCGTTAATCCAACTCGCCGCCTTAAAACATGTGGTTACTTCAAATGAGCTGCTTTTAAAGCATCATCAGTTAACTCCCGTGCAATTACCCATCGATTCTCCCCATGTTTATCTGACACAGCAGATCTATTTTTTTTTCTATATTCGCTTCAATATTTTGTCCTTGAAGGCAAGAAAGAAACACGGTGCATCGCTGAATACTAAAAGTCCCCCTTCCTATTGATCTTATCTCCAGCGTGCTGTTTGGCAGTTGTGGTTTTACGATGCAAATTTTAATCACCTCTGCTGGTTCGGAGCAGCCCGGGATGAGTTTGGCACCTCGAGTCATGATTTGTATCTTATAAACAACACAATTCATGGAAGGACACCTGTCACTTTTACACAGGCTGGACACTCTGCTTTTCTGTACGGCGCATAAAATACAATATTTGTGGGTGACTGCTACCATAAACTTTATAGGTGCGAGATTTGTTGGGCCGTATTTTATTGGATCTAATCCTGGTGGTTCCTTGTGCTCCCTCTGTGCTGAGCCAGTGGAAGCCAGCATGCATTTGCAATTTATTTTTCTGCTGAGTTAAGAATGTGTGTTTTCGGCTGGTGTAGCATTAAAGAGTTAAAGATAATATTTCAGATTTTTTTTTCATGCATAAATATTACGTAAAGTCAAGAATCATCCTTAATTTCCTGAGGGAGTCTTCCCAAGGGATCAATAAAGTTCTGTCTTCTGTATGTCTATCAACAAAATCGTGGTTTTAAGTTGGAAATAAGTGTGTTTTTTTGTGTATTTTTTTCGTTCTCCAGAATCACTCAGACTGAACAGGAAACGTGGAAGCAAACATGCATTTGCAATTTATTTTTCTGCTGAGTTAAGAATGTGTGTCTTCGGCTGGTGTAACATTAAAGAGTTAAATATAACATTTCAGATTTTTTTTTCATGCATAAATATTATGTAAAGTCAAGCATCCACAAAATTTGGTTTTAAGTTTGGTGGTTTTAAGTTGGAAATAAGTGTGTTTTTTTCAGTATTTTCGTTCTCCAGAATCACTCGGACTGAACAGAAATCGTGGAAGCCAACATGCATTTGCAATTTATTTTTCTGCTGAGTTAAGAATGTGTGTCTTTGGCTTGTGCAACATTAAAGAGTTAAATATAATATTTCGGATTTTTTTTTCATGCATAAATAGTATGTAAAATCAAGCATCAACAAAATTGTGGTTTTAAGTTGGAAATAAGTGTGTTTTTGTGTGTGTTTTCGTTCTCCAGAATCACTCAGACTGAACAGGAATCGTGAAAGCCAACATGCATTTGCAATTTATTTTTCTGCTGAGTTAAGAATGTGTGTCTTCGGCTGGTGTAGCATTAAAAAGTTAAAGATAATATTTCGGATTTTTTTTTCATGCATAAATATTACGTAAAGTCAAGCATCATCCTTAATTTCCTGAGGGAGTCTTCCCAAGGGATCAATAAAGATCTGTCTTCTGTCTGTCTATCAACAAAATCGTGGTTTTAAGTTGGAAATAAGTGTGTTTTTTTGGGTATTTTTTTCGTTCTCCAGAATCACTCAGACTGAACAGGAATCGTGGAAGCCAACATGCATTTGCCAATGATTTTTCTGCTGAGTTAAGAATGTGTGTGTTCGGCTGGTGTAACATTAAAGAGTTAAAGATAATATTTCGGAATTTTTTTTCATGCATAAACATTATATTTAAAGTCAAGCATCAACAAAATTGTGGTTTTAAGTTGGAAATAAGTGTGTTTTTTGTGTGTTTTTTTCCTTCTCCAGAATCACTCGGACTGAACAGGAATCGTGATCGTTTTTTTTACTCGTAAAGAAGTGCGGAGGCAGCCATGGAAGTGAAGGAACGCCGGCCCTACCGCTCGCTCACGGCCCGGCAGGACGCGGAGCGCCGCTACACCAGCTCCTCCGCCGACAGCGAGGACGGGAAACCCAACTCCAAGTCCTACAGCTCCAGCGAAACCCTCAAAGCCTTCGACCATGACTCCAGGATGGGCTACGGGACCCGTGTCAAGGAAATCCACCACGAGGTGGACGAGTTCAGCAGACAAGGTGAGCCGGTCTGAGTCATAATTACTCAGTTAAGCTCATCTACAGAATCTGATTGTTAGTTAACAGTGTTGTCCTTTAGTGGTTTTCCCTTTGCATCGCAGTTAAAAAAAAACTTTATGAACAGTCAAAATGCTGATCCAACAATAGGCTGATATATTTAGAAATGATTGTTCTTTTATTTCAGCTCTCTTCTCCCAGTTTGACTTTTTTAATAATCTTTGAGTGACAGAAAAGAAAAATCGTAACTTTGATCGTATGAGAGAGTAATACTTTGCATTTATCCTGATTAAAGACAAGCTGTGCACGTAATATGAAACATCAATGACATTTACTTTAAATATCCAGTAAAATGGATATAAAATATAAAGGTTTACTTTTTATTATAAATAAGAGACATTTGTAACATGGGGCTGTGAAAGTAACCATAAAGATGCTGTGATACTCTAAGCTTCAGCTAATAATAGGTTGCAAATACTAAATAAATTCATACTAAACGTACCTCCATGGTGATTTAGCTAAATGACCACTAAGTAAAACTGTTCCTTCTCCACTGACAGCCAAGCAATTTAAGTTCAGGATATTGCTGCCATTTTTCTCTGTAATGAACACAGTTCATTAGGTTAAGCATGACGATTAGCTGTAGTTTTAATTACCGGTGGCCTGTGTTTATGGGGTTTTTTCTGCAGGGGCAGAGTTCTCCCTGCGGGACCTGGGCTTTGGGGAGGCGCTCCCGGCCCACGTGGCCTCGTACCGGAGCGAGGTGGGAATGCCTCAGCGCGACTATTCGGTCAGCGTGGGGTCCGACGCCGACACGGAGACGGACGGCGTCCTGTCCCCCGAACACGCGGTCAGACTATGGGGCCGCAGCAACACCAAGTCGGGCCGCAGCTCCTGCCTGTCCAGCAGGGCCAACTCCAACCTCACCCTGACCGACACCGAGCACGAGAACACGGAGAACGGTAGGGCCTTTCCCCGTCATGTAGGGTGGGTTTATTGAAGGGAGGACTCAGGTGCGGAGATGACGGGAAACAAGGTTTTTTTGTAACGAAAAAACAGTCATGAATGAGTGAATGTCCAGACAAAGTACAAATCAAGACTGTGGAAAACTGTGAGGCAAAGGCAAAGTAACAAAATAAAGATTAACAAGACTGTGACAAAAACTATGACTGTGACAAAAGTAACAAAATAAAGATTACCAAGACTGTGACATGGCTGTGGAGAAACTGTGACTATGACAAAAAAGCAAACCTGGCGTGGGGGGTGACGAAAGACGAAAAAGACGAAAACGCACTCGCACAGGACAAAAGGAAACGAGGACTATTTAAACACACGAGGGAGGGGAACCCCAGGTGTACACAATAGGTAATCATGACATGACGACACACCAGACGTGACACAGAATACCCTCCAAGAATCTCACATACTGTCTTGTTTCAGAAGGATTTATTTATTGGATTAAGACTGAGTGAATCAGTGTAGTGTTTATTTGCACACGTACATGACTTGTCATAACTTTAATCAACAAAAACAGCAGATAGATTTAAAAAGAACACCAGGATTGTGATCATTTTGGTTTGAATTTGTTTAAATTGTCATAGTTTCTTATTTACTGGAATGGATCTAATTAATATATGAGGTGTGTTTTCTCTATTTATATAGTTGTAATTTAGTTTGACCAGAATACCCTGCAAGGAGCTCACATATTGCCTCGTTTCTAAAGAATTTATTTATTGGATTACCACTGAGTGAATCAGTGTAGTGTTTATTTGCACCCGTACATGACTTGCCATAACTTTAATCAACAAAAAAACAGCAGATAGATAAATAAAACCCACCAGGATTGTGATCATTTTGGTTTGAATTTGTTTAAATTGTCATAGTTTATTTTTTTGCTGGAATGGATCTATTTAAACGATGAGGTGTGTTTTCTCTATTTATATAGTTGTAATTTAGTTTTACCAGAATACCCTGCAAGGAACTCACATACTGCCTTGTTTCAGAAGGATTTATTTATTGGATTAAGACTGAGTGAATCAGTGTAGTGTTTATTTGCACACGTACATGACTTATCATAACTTTAAGCAACAAAAACACAGCAGATAGATAAAAAAAAAACACCAGGATTTTGATCATACTGGTTTGAATTTGTTTAAATTGTCATAGTTTCTTTTTTGCTGGAATGGATCTAATTAAACGATGAGGTGTGTTTTCTCTATTTATATAATTGTGATTTAGTTTTTCAGTTCACCTAAAACAGAGTTTTGGCTGAGCATTACTTCTTTTATTCGAGTGCTGACCTTTGTGAATCACATATATTTGTAGAGTTTGACAGAAAAAGGTCACACAGATCCCTTTTGGTGACGTTGGTATCAGTATTTGGGAAAGTGCATGTATGTATTTGTGACTTGGTGTTTCTCTTTTGCCCGCAAAGGAAACAGGGTTCTTTGTTTTTGCCCAGATAGTAACTCAACCTGAAATAAGGAAAACACAGTTGCAGAGGAGCGGATCTGCACAATTTTCTCTTTAAATCGTTTGTTTTTTCCTCTCAGAAGAAGAATTTTAGGTTTCTGTTTTGTTAGGTGGACTCTCTTTGTGCTTAGCTGTTTTTATCCATTGGTGGACGAAAATGCTCTCGCAAAAAAAACAAAAACAACAAAAAACGACTGTTGTCTTGAAGCAGTATTACAGGAGCATGTTTCTTTTTTCAGACTTAACCAGGTTTGTGTCCCTCATGTGTACCACTCTCAGCATTTGTGTTCCTCTAATTCTACTTAACTTGATTATCTTGATAATCTTTTACATACAGGTCCAATGGGCTGAAAATTGAAGATCTGTTTTGTCCAATAAAAAGTTAAACACTAATCTAAATCATGAATATTACATGGAAGATTTATGATATTGTTCCCAGGGCACTTCGCAGACAGAAAAATCTCATCAAGGACAGAGCAGCAAAATCCTAATTGCCCTGCACAGCCTTCCAGAGAACCTTTTGAATAGTTTTGCATTTCAGAGTGTGTTACTTTATGTATTAGCTCTTTATTATAACTGACAGAAATGACTCTTGCAAGTGGAATCCATTTGGCCGGATGAGTCAGGGAAGGAGCCTGGCATCCCTGTGCTTGATCATCTGAGATGCTGGGGGACTCAGATTTGGCTGTATTGTACATAATTAAAGAGAATCTCCTTGGATGGCTGTTCGGGGTTTGGTATGCTGGAATGTATTCAGAGCACCCGTAGCTGCTGCATCATGCATCTGTGAGACCCAATTGAGATTCTAAGTAGCCTTTTATTCCACTCACCCGAGCAGAAAGAGCACTTGTATTCAGCATTTAATTCAGTAATGCCAGATAACATACAATTTATATATGGCAAGTTAATTAAAATCCATCGAGCAGGCTTGCTTGTGTGGCTTTAATCTATTTAAATCAACAAACCATTTACTC